TTTTCTCTGCCTTAAGCAATTTATAGTCTTTTCATTTGCTATCATATACACACAGAGCAGCTACAGGCAAGAGAGTGGGAGAAGAGACTTGTTGTTCTCCTGAGGTCACTCAGATGAGACTGGTAGGGTGCTGGCAGGTCTGACTAGGAAGTTGACGTGGGGTAGGAGATGCATTTTGTCTATTAGAGTCCAGGAGTCTGTGGGTGTTGTTGTATTGGGTGGAAGGTGGGGGGAATGGACGGCCATTTCCTTTTGACCTCAATTGGGTCTGCTGAGATTCAGACATGAGTGGTCAACCAAGTGGCTATGGCTTTCCAGAAGTCTGTTTGCATAAAAAATTAAGGACAGTTCGTGGGCAGAATGGGTCAGGTAGGCACTTTGGCATAGTAAAAAAAAAAAGAAAAAAAAAAAGCCTTAGAGGTGCTTCTGAATATAGCACAGATTCTGTATTCAAAGTTGACTTTCAGCCTCTCCCCTACATGTCATGTCTAAGTCCAGTTCGTGAAGGGAGAGGTCCAAAGTCTGGGCTGCAGGCTTTTGGATTAAAAAAGGGGAAGGAGATGCTCCAATACAGACTCGGCAATCTTTTCTTTTCTGAAATACGGTCATTTAAAAATACATATACTATCTAATATCACCGTTGTTTCAGGAAAAAAAAAAGAATTTTCAAAGAGATATACTACAATACAAATTTAACTTAAAAAATTGAATTACTTTAGCTTTGATAAAAACCCAGAAAGATGAAAACTTTACAACAGCTTCTAGCAAAAACTCTCCACCATTCTACAACTGCTTCATCACATCTTTTTTCTTCTTTGTTCCTTTATCATCATTTACTCCCTGTTTCTGGTTTTCTCCCACATACAACACTACCCCCTTCCCCCAGTATTTCCAACTACACCTTCTTTTTCTTAATTACATCAGTTTAGTTAGGTTGTGGGTCAGCTATGACCTTCGGAAGGGGAGATGCAGGGCAGAATGTAAAGGAGCGGAGTTAGTGAGACCTGCTACTGGAAATGAGGTCCAGGAGGGTAGCAGCTTTGTCTTGTTTTCCACTGTATACCCCCACCCTGAAAACAGGGCCTGGAATGTGCCAGTGCTCAATAAATGTTCACTGAATCAATGAATAAAATACAGGCAAGGTAGACACAGATTCTACAGTAACACACCACCAATGACAACAAGGTAGCAGTCGCTGCTCTTATTAGAGGTAATGACGACATTTCACAAATCATTAAACTTTCTTGCAGAAATATGAGAAGGAAAAAATAATTGACAATACAGCATCTTAATCCAACCATTATTATACTTTTGTTGTTATTCTTTTTGGCGTTTTGTAATATGCACTTAAAATATACTTGTAGTCACAAAATTTTGAATAGGCAATATGGAACTTATTTTCAAAAGAACCAATCTCCATACCTACAAGGTATCACTCAGAACAAACTTAGGTGATGTTCCCTGAGTATGTCTGAAATAACCTTTGATGATCTGTGTCAGTACAACAAAGCATGTGATATCAATCATAGCAGACTTGGAGGTCAAGTAGGTAGGTATAAGACATGCATTTTCTTGCTGGCTCCCACTCTAAGGGTTTTAATGTCTCCTCTGTAAAAAGAGAATTGGGGTTCCATAATCTCAAAGGTCTTCTTAAAGTCGGAAGTTGAATAATGCCTGAAAAAGATTTTATTGTTTTAGTCTAATTGTAGAGCAGTTTGTAGTTAAAATGTTTATATATTTATGTATATAAATTTATATATTTATACATAATGGTACATATTAACTGGGATACGAGCGCCTGCCATGCAGAAATATATATATTTTTAGAAATTTACATAAAGGACCCATTTCTAATTTTTCAGGACTACTTTCTAACTGGAGGAACTACAGTTAAGTAGTTTCACTTACCAGATAGACTTAGTAATTTAAAGTTCCAACGGTAAATCTTCATCTTTAAAACCAATAAAAAGAAAGTTAATTCAAAACAAAGTGACAACAACATATCAGCAAGGAGTAATCTAAGGGCGATTCATTGGTGTAGAAAAGGGATGAAGAAAATTCTACCATTATGCTCCTACGTAGAGTAAGGTAATTCAGGAAATTCTTCCTTGCAGTATAATTTAGGATGGACCTTTGCTCCCATTTTCTATTTTCTTAAGGACCACCACTTCCTCCGTTAGATAACTTGGCAGCTGGATAATTATTTCATTAATGTAGGTATAATTTTTCTTTTGGAGGTAACAGAATTGCCTTGAACTGAAGCTTAATCGCCACTGCTACCATCCCCAGGTGAGACTGACGGAACCAGAAAGATTTAAAGCAACGCCCCCCCAAAATGCTTCCGCTGTGGAGGTTGTTTCTGTTAAACTTTAATTGAAATAGCCCAAACCTGTCACAATTTCAAAAGAATCAGAAGTAATCGTGCTGCAAGCAGTTAAATCGAAATATACGTGAACTGCTTTCCCAGCCACACAAGGATTTCCAAGGTAGTTCAGCAAAGAAAAGAATCTGGGACTGTTTACAAGCCTCGGATCGCACGCGATTTCCTGCAATACACGCCTAGATGTTCATCGGCATAGCGTTAGTCACATTAAAAAGCGTGATTGCTCTATCAGGCTGCAAAATTCTGGGATGTAATAACGACTTTCCCACCGCGGGTCGCCGGCAGGTAATGGAGCCCGGCAGCCCCTGGCCTCGCCCCGCCCCCTCCCGCCCACCGAAACCCGCCTCAGAGGTCGGTTCACAGAGCTCACCACAGTCTCCTGCTGCCCTCTGCTGGCGTCCGTTAGTTTGCTGAGGGAGGCCGCACGGCCGCCAAGTCGCGCAAGGCAGATGACGTCACGCCTGCGCGCTGCCCGTGGCCGGAAGTTAGTCGTCCATTTCCGTCCCTCTGTTCCGCTCCAGACCCAGAGGCGGAAGTAAAGCCATCTCCAGCTCATCGGTACAGTACAGGTTGCTGTTGGTGGCTTGCTGCTACTGTGCTTTTTTTTTTTTTTAGAAGCTGGTCTGGGTGACTTTGATGTATAGCGGAGTCCAGTTTTCGCGCAGCTTCTTGCAGAAATGTCATTGTGGGAGGAAGAGGGATGGGAAGAACCCTTGGAATGGAACTTGTGGAATGACCATGGTTTTGAGTTAAGGAAGATTCACCTGGGTTCTAACCCCACGTTTCACCCAGCTAAGGCAAGTTAGTAAGGGAACTTGGCGCTTTCCCCGATTTTGTAATTTTACGGATAATGCTTACTTTTTTAATTTGTGGGGTTAAATAAGACTATGTAAAGAATTTAGCTCTGGTTTTACAAATATTCGTTATTCTGCTACCTTTTCTCGTCATACTCAGGCGTGTACTTGCCATTTTCTTCTCAATATCTCTGAGATGGTTATACAAGAAGTAATGCCCTCACGAGAACATTATGCATTGTTGGCTGCGATTGAGCTCTTTATTGTTTTATGAAGTCCTGACTATATTTTGTCCCTTTTTTTTTATTTTTTTTGCCATTTCCAGGGAAGCTGTTTTCCAGTTTTTTCTAGAGGAATTTAAAATCATCTTAAGACAAATGAGGTGAGAATGCATTGTTGTAAAGGTCTCCAAACAGCTTGTTTTGTCAAAAGAAGGCCAACTGGAATGTAATACCCTGAGGCCAGTGATTAACCATTTCCATTAAAAGCTGCTTTTATCAGGTGACGAGCACAGAGCAATGTAAATCCTTTTATTCCTTAGACCTCACAGGTTACAGGTACATAGATTTTCCGTGTGTTTGTTAATTTTGGATTTAAGCCTTTGCAGTCGTGGTTTTGGTTAATTAAAATGTCAATTTGAGAATGAAGTACATTTTGGAGAATTAATTACTTTTGAAATTTGTAGATGGAGGTAATCAATACTTTTTGCATTGAGGCATTTAAATAATTACCTTCCTAGATGTAATAGGAGTATTTTGGATGGAGATTGGGTGCTAAAAGAGTAAAGTAGCATTGATATTCATCAGGTTTAACTTTTTTGTGTTGAAAACTGAAAAATAAAAAAAGGTAATATGTATTTTCCATTATGTTTTTGAACTCCTAGGCCGTTTTAATTTGTTTTTAATTTCTTGCCCAATTGCAAAATAACACTTTAATTAAGTAATAACTTAATATTTCAGAACCAGTACACAGCTGCCATTAATCGGTCAGAGATAACTTTCATTTTTTTCCCTCTTTATACATTAATGTCCTCACCCTCTTTTATGTAAGTGGTATTACCCTTAACACATCATTGTGCAGTTTGCCACTTAAAATATCTTGGACATCTTTCTATTGTGTTAGATATGCCTCATTTTTTTTTTTTTTAAAGCAGGCTGTATAGTATTATATTGCATAATTACCACAGTTTATCATTCTACTATGAGTGACCATTTGCATTCTTTTTTGCTCTAGCAAATAATATGATTGTCATTCTTTTTTATAATAAATGTATATTCTTGTTTTTTTATTTCCTCTGGATAATTTCCAAGTGGAAATGCTGGGTTAAAGGATGTGATGGAGGGTACCAAATTCTCTTCCAGCAGTGGTATTTGAAAAAATTTTCCCATTTCCTCATATGCTCACCAACAGTTGATCTTAGTTAACATTGTATTTAAGCTTAGTTGAGACTGCTCATAATATTTTTTGGGGGGTCAATTTATTGTGTTTATAGTATTATAATCAGGACCAAATTTTAGTTACCAGTTCTAAATCCAATTGAGCTCTTTTTTTTCCTGTAGAAATAGAATACTTAGTTTTAGATTCCTTAGTAGTAAATTATTATAAAACAAATGATTCATTTTAACAGTACATATTTGTTAAGGTAAAGATTTGTGGGAAGATAGTATTTTAATGGGACCTTATCTGTGGATAGACATCAGGAAGATAGGCCTTTCCGAAAGACATCTTAAGCAAAGGCAGGGAAATAAGGATGGACAAGGATGTTTAGGACCAGAGGTTTGAGAGGCAGTGGTACTTAGTGGTAAAGTTGTATGTAGAATAGAAGCTAACTAGAATGGTCATTGGTACTGTGTGGTAAGGGCTTTGAAGGTCAGTCTAAAGATTTTACTTTCTAGAGAAGAGCTACAGAGATCTTCAATCAGGGACTGAGGAGCATAATTACATCTTTGGTTTACAAGCACACTACAGAGGCAGTTTTAAGTGAGTGATGTTAGAGAAACAAGTTAGGTGGCTGTTACAGCCCAGATGAGGGAATAGCACACAGTTGAGAGGCTGGAGTTCAGACATACTGAAGAAGCTTAATCAGCATGTGGCTATGGGGTTGAGGAAAAGAAAGCAGAGCTTTTATATTTTTATCATGAGTGACTTTTAGGTTAGTGATAGTGATTTCATTGATCAGAGGACGTCTAGTTTGGGGACTGGGAAAGATGCTCATTTTGGTTTTGGACGTGTTAATTTGTGTGAAAGATAATTCTATGGAGAATGAATTATATGTAAAAACATAAAATCACCTATGACAGATTCAGGAGAAACCTTCATTTACTACTCTTTTGTTAAGAAATTTGGAGGTATTTTTTCACTTTTAGTCTGTCATGAGTGGAATTTCTTTTGAACTTTATGTGACTTGTTCAGCCTTGTTTGTGATAGTGTAATCTCAAGAGGGTGTGTTGTCTAGAGTAGTAGCATTCAGACTTTTTGATTGTGTACACTCAATAAGAAAGGTTTATACATATGTATATTTGTATATGTAAGTATATTTATCCATTCCTTACGTACATGTTTTACATTACTATTGTATACATTATAAAACACATACAGAAAGTGGAAATTTTAAAAGACTAAGACAAATATAAATTGGAGTTTTACCGTTTTCTTCTTACATCTCATTGGATCATCTTACCATCCCTTTTTGGAAAGACTGGTCTTATCCACAGCTGTCAGTGTTCTATCCCATTATCCAGTAGAGGTCACTCTTGAACGTCTGGAGAAGAGAACAGATTGGTGAGCTGTGCAAGGTCAAGCCCTCATTCTTTTGTTAGAATGAAGATCTTATTTTTAAGTTTCTGAATTCACGCATATTTGGAAAAGTGTATAGTTACAGAGTAGTATGTGGTATTATGAAGTAAAGAATAGTGAACATAGGGAAATCTAAAATGTGCTTTTGTTGTTGTGTGATGTTTACCTGGAAAGTGGCCTGCATTTTTGTTTGAATGTTATTTGATTCTATAGTTTGAGAATATTTTTCCAGTTCTTTGAGGATCTGTAGATTACCTGAGCTGCAGGAATGTTTCCAGCCTGTATTCATAATCCAGGTTCTTGTTAAGTTGGAGTAATTAAGAGGATAGACAGAGAGTCTTTTTTGATATCAATCTTAAAAGCGGTATCTCAAGCCCAGAGATATCAGTGGTGAGTTGAAACCATCTAGCTCCATTTTCTATTTTATGCTTAATTGGAGAGAAGAAAAGGGAAGTCCTCCTTTAAGTGATAAGAGCCTATTGTAAGTAATAAGTATTCAAGAACTGAGTTTGTCACAGCTGCATAGTCTGAAAAAGAGAAAATATGGTTAAAAAATGTATTGATTAATTCAGACTTCGAGTAGCTTAGTAACAAACCACCCGATAAGTTGAATAACAGAAGACTACTTTTCTATTGCTTTCCTCATTAAATATTTCTTATAAAGAGAAATGCTTGTTTTAGTAGGGACCTATTATTATTATCATATGTAAGTTCATACATTTCACGACTCATTTCTAAATGATCAAGAAAATGAGTTATTGAGGTTTTAGCCACTTGTACAAAGTTTACATGTGAAACGGATGCAGAAATCCCTGGGTTAGTCTTTTGTATCGTGGTGATGGGCTGGAGGAATGAGAAAAGCAACTTTTTAATGTTCACGTGCCATCTCGCAGCACAATTCCACATGTGGACTGTTTGGCTTAAATATCCCAGTTAGATCATTTTGAAAATTGGTTTGGATTGTTGGGTTATGACCAAGGGGGGCAATAAAGTAAACTGAATGAGGTGGAGATTGGGATCAGGAGCCGTTGACCAGAGTCTAGTTAAGCTAAGAATTAAGACTCTAATAATAAGTTGGGTTTAAAAAGAGTGCCATAAAACTAAAAAAAAAAAAAAATGTTTAAGGTGGAAATTAGGTATTCTGAAGATTTGGTTTTCAGGGCTAGATTTAGACTTTGATAACCAGGATGTGAGAACAGAGGCAAAGAAGTCTGGTATCTATGGGCAGGGGCAAGGCCAAAGATCTGGGAATTTGGAGACAAGGTAGAAATGAAAGCATGAGTTAGTAGGAGTAAGCCAAAGGTTAGGAAACAAGGAAGATAAAGCAGAGATGGAGAGGGACAGCTGGTTTTGGGTAGCCAAGGTAGATAAGGCCAAATAAAAAGAGCAAGATAAAAGTAAGGATAATTCTGGGGCAACGATGATGCTATACTACTTTATGTTAAGAATGTATGGAGCCCCAGGCCCACAGATAATCAGAAGCAGTGATCTAGGGAGTAGTATAGTGGCTGAGTTGTTACCACAGCATTGGGAGATTTGGAGCTATAGACGTCTTCTTATAGGAATGATTATGATGCTCATAGGATCATAATACAGTCTTTTAGCTATTTAATACATGCATTTGTATAATACATATGTTGTTTTACACAGCATTCCAAAAGGTTGGGGCTACTTGACCATGATGGCACCACGGAACCTTTTGGATATGAGAAGTAACTTTCTCTTTGGTTCAAGATGTTGGATGATCCGATTTTCATCAGAAATCCTCTTCAAATCAGTTTCATTTAGGCTTTTTGGTGTGAAGTGTGGTGATGAAGACAGAGAGCCTTTGGAGAATGAGCTACTTAATAACTTACTTATTATGGGAGTAGATGTTGACATGGCGAAGAAACGACAGCCTGGTGTTTTCAATAGGGTGGGTATTAATGAGCAGGACCTGAAGATGTTCCTTCTGTCCAAAGGAGCCAGCAAAGAAGTGATTGCTAGCATCATATCAAGATATCCACGAGCCATAACACGCACACCTGAAAATCTATCAAAACGGTGGGATCTGTGGAGAAGAATTATGACATCAGACCTTGAAATTGTAAATATTTTGGAACGTTCTCCTGAATCCTTTTTTCGGTCTAATAACAACCTAAACCTAGAGAATAATATAAAGTTCCTCTACTCAGTTGGACTGACCCGTAAATGCCTTTGTCGATTATTGACCAATGCCCCGCGTACCTTTTCCAATAGTCTTGATTTGAATAAACAGATGGTTGAATTTTTGCAAGAAGTCTGTTTATCTTTAGGTCACAGTGATCCCATAGATTTTGTTAGGAAGATAATTTTTAAAAACCCTTTCATTTTAATTCAGAGCACGAAACGGGTCAAAGCTAACATTAAGTTTTTACAGTCAACTCTCAACCTGAACAATGAGGAGCTGCTTGTTCTGATATGTGGCCCAGGAGCTGAAATCCTAGACCTTTCCAATGACTATGCCAAAAGAAACTACGCAAATATCAAAGAGAAGCTCTTTCTTCTTGGGTGTACTGAAAAAGAAGTACAGAAGTTTGTCTTGAGCTATCCAGATGTGATCTTCTTGGGAGAGAAAAAGTTTAATGATAAAATAGATTGCCTTATAGAAGAAAAAATTAGCATTTCAAAAATAATTGAAAATCCTCGGATTTTAGATTCAAGCATAAGTACTTTAAAAAGTCGAATCAAAGAATTGGTAAATGCTGGTTATAACTTGAGTACATCAAATATTGCTCTTCTATCTTGGAGTCAAAAAAGATATAAAGCCAAATTGAAAAAGTTAAACACTTGTTAGAACATTGTTCTGGGGAGTTAAAAAAATCCTAAAATGTAGAGAGATCACTTCATTTTGAATTTGGGCCTTTTAAAAAAAGTTCGATTTCTTAACCACGTAATACATATATGATGATCCTTTGTATATTTTAAAAGTTTATAAAACTCATCGTCGGTATGCTCCAAGTAAAGTGTTGCCAGGTACCTTTTCTCTAGTTTGCATTAATACAATATCCTATTGTATGATAAAGGCTATGTAAATGGTACTTCCTAAGCACCAAGGCAGAACAATGTGTAGAAAGATAGAAAATACAAAGTAAGCTGCTTTATTTTTTGGTTTCCATTCAGTTTAAAAAATTGACAGATTTATTTAGATCCATTTCCTTTTATGGTTTTGAATGGCAACCTATTTCTCCTTTTCCTACATATTTAATTATGGTTCATGTTCAAAATAGAATACTAGTAAAAATCTGACAAAACAGGAGTGATTTTTCATCCTACATTCTTTATTTAAACCATTAATATCCCCACCTCCACCCCTTAGGCTCAGTTTAATATAGGAATATCCTGATTTCTTTGAAGACACGGGCAACTGTGGTAGGCAGAATAATGGCCACCCAAAGTTGTCAATGTCATAATTCCTAGAACCTGTGAATGTATTATGTTATGTTACATTGCAAAAAGACTTAGATGCGATTAAAGACCTTGAGATGGAGAGATTACTCGGATTATCTGGGTAGGCCCAGTGTAATCATAAGTGCCCTTAAAAGTGGAAGAAGGAGGTAAAAGGTCAGAAATGATTTGATGTTAGAAGGACTTGACTCACTCTTACTGTCTTTGAAGGAGAAAGGGGCCATGAGCCAAGGAATGCAGGTGGCCTCTACAAAATCGAAAAGACAAGGAAACATTCTCTAGCTCCTTCAGAAGGAAATACAGCCCTGCCAGGGCCTTGAATTAAGCCCAGTGAGACCCATGTCAAACTTCTGACCTACAGAACCCTAAAATAATAAATTTGTGTTGTTTTAAACCTCTGAGTGTGTGATAATTTGTTACAGCAGCAAATAGAATAACAACTAAATAGACTATTAGTTGCATTGTAGGTGAAGTCACAAAATATAGTTCTTTCAGTATCATGTCTGTATTTCTTCCTCGTATAATTACTTTTTTTATCCAACTGTTTTTCTGGAATGGCTTATAAGTTAGTGTTTGTAAAGTCCTCTCAATGTATGGATAAAAAACTAAATATGAGTAATAAAATCTAAAAATATTTTTGTTTAATGAATGCAGTTTAAAGAAATGATGATAGTTTCTGTATATTTTTATTTTGTTGGCATTTCATCTAATAGAAAGAACAAGAAATTTCTAGAGGCATTGACTTAAAAAAAGACAAATCAAATAATGTCTTTCTTGAAGACATTCACAATCTAGCTCTGACAAGCTGAAAAAGAAGAGACAAATTACATGACCTTAAGTACTTTTGTTTTCCAGAGGCATTTGTGGATTTTGAATTAACAATGATGTTCAACCTTTTAAGCCTTATTTCCTATCTGTTGCCTCAAAAAAACCAGTTCCCACCACTGATAGAAACAAAATGCCTGCTTTTTCAAGGCCATTTGTATGTCAGTGATACTCATAGTTACATCCAAAACGCTATTTGATAGCAAGCATAGCATAATTTAGAAAACTTGGGCTTTAGAGAGACGTTTCTTTAGAGTGATATTTTTGGGTACTATTCCTGACTAGTTCTGTAAATGTTTATAAATGTTTTAAGTTCACTGAACTTGTTTTCTCATCTCTAAGATTAAAAATTGACCTTGTGGAATTGGTAAGAATCAGATGATATAAGGTCTATAAAGTTTCTTGCACATAGTCACTGTTCAGTGATAGCTGTAATAATTATAGTACTGTTTTTAGAACAGCTTAAACAGCTTTATTAACATATAATTCACATACACAGTTCACCAATTTAAAGTATGCAGTTTAATATATATTTTTTATATTTATAGGACTGTGTAATCATCTCCACAATCTAATTTTAGAAAATGTTTGTGCCCCCTAAAAGAAACCTTGTATCCATTAGCAGTCAATCCTCCTCATCCCCTTCCTACTTTCCTAGCCCCAAGCAACCAGTGATCCACTTTCTATGTCTATAAATTTGCCAATTCGGGACATTTAATATAAATGGAATCATACAATATGGGGTCTTTTATGACTGGCTTCTTTCACTTGGCATAATGTTTTCAAGGTTTATCCATGTAGCACCTGTCAGTATTCCATTCCTTTTTATTGCCAAATAATATTCCATCGTATGGATGCAGTAGTATTATTGGGAGTATATTTTATTGTTATGACTTAAAACATGAAGTATTAATTCCTTCAGCCTTATGAATTGTATAGGAGTATTTTATGAGGAATTGCTTTGGGATCTAACAAGTTTATAAGGAACTTGAGGGAGGTGGGCAGAGGAGATAAAAATTTATTTGACATCAACTGGTTTGGGAAGGGACAGCTTTGTAGAAACAAGTGGATAATGCCTGTCAGGAAATATTAACATGTCATTTTAAGATTCGAGTCTGATTAAGGAAGAATCAATTCCTAAATTTTAAATTATAAAAATTTTAAGTTTTTTCATGATTAAAAATTCATGTTTATAATGGGGAAAAATGGAAATCATTAAAAAAAAAACTATATTATCTCCCAGAGATAGATAATATTTTGATGCACTCTTCTTATTTTTCTTTGCAGAATATATCCACATATGGATATAACATGAGTAAATATGTGGCATATATATATATATTTAGAGTTCAAACTATTTTATGTTGCTTTTTTAAAAATGTTAATAGGTTGTGAACATATTAAATATTCTTTAGTAATTAATTACAGATTCAAGTATTCACCTGTAACATAGTTTTTAATGATTGTACAAAATTCTGTCATATAGATAAACCATGATTTCTGTAGTCAATCTCTCACCATTAGATAGAGTAAATTTTAGTACATTAGTAATTTTTTTTGAAAATACCACCTAGATTAGTTCAATATTCCACAGTGTTATATGTACTACTACTTTTTCTACCACTGATGCACTTTATAAGTTAAAATTTTGCTCTGGAAAATACGAATGTTAGGAATACTGCATTTTTTCTGTTTTCAAATGTTAGATGTATCTGGAATACTACATTTTTTAATGGAAACCATCTGTACATTCTACGCTACTGGAATAAACTTGAAGATTTTCAAATAACTGAGAATATAGGACAACATCAAAGGTTAAAGAGAAAAAAATGAATTTCCTCATCATGAACTTAGCAGGAAGGAATGAAAAATGAGTAGTATATATAAAAGTGTTTATTGGGTTATTAAATTAGTCATTTCTCTCCTTAAATCATGTAATTTCTAAGGCTTGAATAGGTACATGATTTGTACTAAAGAGCCAATAATATAGTTTGTGTGTGTGTGTGTGTGTGTGTGTGTGTGTGTGTGTGTGTGTGTGAAAAACTTGGCTATTGGCTCCTTCTCTGTGGACTGTAATACCCCACACTTCACGCCCAGAAGTATGATCCAGTGGAGATGGAAAAGAGAATCTGTTGATGGCAGAACCCTAGCCACAACTTTAATAACAGGCAGTTGTTACATAGTCCAGGGAGAGCTTGGCACAGGCAAGGTAGTATAGCAGGATTGTATTATTGTTAGATTTGGAGGAAGAAATCATGGCAGAAGCCCAACTGTCCAACATTGGAGAGGGAAGGAATGAGCTGTGACTCATAATGGATCGTCTCCAGAGGGACTAGGTCTTCTGTGAGATTGGCCACCAGGTAACTTGGGAGACAGGTATTCTCAACTAGCTAAGAGGTCTCTGGACTGAGGTCACTTGTTCATTCCTTAGTTTATTCACTATTGACTGAGGAACTTGGTACAGGACAGAGCTACAGTAGGATCAGAGCTGAGAAGAAGGCACTTAGGGTGAATGTTGTAACCTGGGCACAGTATCTTGCTCATTTTCATATTTCTGGTATTCCTCCAATGACACTTGCCTCTTCACTTTCTTTGGGTCTTTTCAAGATCATTGATGTCTACCCTTTTGCTTTCACACTTTTCTCCTCATTTCACAGAGGTTGTTAATTAAAAGGAAAAAAAATTTTGTTTAGACTTTTGACTAATTTTTGAGTGGAATTTTGTGTAGAGAGAGAAGGCATACTGATGGAATTCCATTTTCTGGCTCAGTTTCACCACTAATCAGATGTTTGGAATTTGTTTTCCCTTAATAGCAATATTGTGTGAAGATTAATGAGCTTATGTACACGAACTTTGTGTTGATTATGGAAAGTTTTAATATGATGGTATGATAGTTTTTCCATTTCCATTTTTAATATCCCAGTGCCACCTTCACCACCTTGCAAGGTACCCTCAATTTATGCCCACCATGATTGTCTTTCTCTTTATTTTACAATGGAAATGAATTCTCAGAGGATACACAATTGTTGTAAAAGCCTTTGAACAATACAAAGAAACAAAGTCCCAGCCAACCTATTTATCATGAAGTTGAGGAAATATCTTTTACTTCTTAGTTCACAAAGAAGTTTATTTAAATCAGGGATGAATGATAATTTTTGAAAAATCCTTTTTAAAATCATCTCTTTTCAATCCATTAATGAATATCAGTTGATTTCTTCATATCACTCTTTGTTTTGCTGAAATAAAACCTATACCAAATTTAATTTACTGATATTTTACTTAATATTTTTTATTATTATTCACAGGGGGGATTGATCTATAGCTTTCCCTTCCACCTTGTTGTGATTGAAGTTTTGGTTGGTAGGTCCCTTGTTTCTAAGTGCAGGGAAATTGCCACTTAGGTTTTGAATCAGGGTTGTGCTAGCCGTACAAATTAATTTGGAAGCTTATTGTTTTCCCACAAGCTTTGAAACCATTTGAAAAGGGTGAGAACTATCAATTTCTTAAAGCTAGGCAGAACTTGCCTGTAAAATCATCTGGGCCTGGTGTCTTGTTCAGGACAGATCCTTGAAAACAATGGAAAGTTGCTCTGAAGGCTTATGTTTTTGGTACATATCAGTATAAAGCTCTCTTTGGTCATAATCAATGCTTTTTGCTTTGAATTATACATTGGTATTAACAGTGCCATGCATTATGTCCATACAAAGATTTATACATGCAACTTCATAACAGCTTGTGAAAACCAAAATCTGAAAGCAACCCCAATGTTCATCAACAAGTGAATAGAGAAATAAATTATGATATATTCATGCAGCGGAATATTATTCAGCAATACAAAAGAATGAATGATTAATGCATAAAACAACCTGTGTGAATCTCAAAATAATTATGCTGAATGAAAGAAGCCAGATCAAAAAGGAATGCAATCTATGTGATTCCATTAAATAAAATTCTAGAAAATGCTCACTAATCTATAGTTACAGAAAGCAGATCATTCATTGTCTGGGATGGTAGTGGAGTGGGGTCGGGGTGGCCAAGGAGGAGAGATTACAAGGGGCACAAGGAAAGTGGGGGTGATGTATACATTATCTTCATTACGGTGATGGTTTTGTGAATATGAACATGTCAAAACATATCAAATTGTATATTTTAAATAAGTGCAGTTTAGTATGCTTCAGTTATACCTCAGTAAAGTTGAACAGTCCATTCAACACTGAGTTGAAATGCCTTCTTTATCTGGTACTAAATTTTCACATGGGGGGTGTGTGTGTATAGGTCCTCTTCAATTCTCTTCAACAAATGTATTTGGCTTTATATTTCTATATTGATATCAAGAATTAAACAGTATATCTTTTCAGTAGAGGTGTTGGGAGACCTGAGAAGTCACCTGGAAAAAATATTGGTGGTAAACTCTAAGTGGAGCAGTCATGAACCCTATACCCTCAGCCCCTGCCTTGGCTTAATGACTAGAACTCAGGTTGGGCCATGGTATGTGTTAGACCCTGGCTCTAATACCAGCATCTTTTTGTTCTAGAGGGTTTCTTACCTGGGACCCACTTGACTGGGACCCTTGGGCTGGAGTTTACCAAGAGAACAGCTGCCCCCTGCTTTGTTCCTGCTATTCCACAAGTGCAGATAAAGTTAGACTTCAGCCTTTTTTCCATGAGAGAACAAGGCCTCTGCTGGAGTCCCACTGGCGTGCTTCTTTGATTAGTAAACTGACTGGATTTACAATCTTGGCAGCCACACACAGACTCCTTTTTTCAAGAAAGTAGGGTGCATGGCCCCAAGTTAGAGGCTTCCTTCCAT